CACACACACACACACACACACACACACACACACACACACACACACACACACACACACACACACACACACACACACACACACACACACACACACACACACACACACACACACACACACACACACACACACACACACACACACACACACACACACACACACACACACACACACACACACACACACACACACACACACACACACACACACACAGTTGTCGGGTTCAGAGGACATTTGAAGGTGACCTTGACTTTGACCTTGGAGGTCATCTGAAGGTTATCCGAAAGTCAACTTTGCTTTTTAAATAGAAACATTAATTTTTTTCTTACGGAATTTTATTCTACGTAAAGAAACTAACAACTCTTGTTTGAAAAAATTTTTTATACGACCTCTATTTTCAAAGGTATTTACGGAAATATTTACAAAATTATTGGATTTAATAATTTTTTACTCGAATTCTATCAACTTTAGCGAAAAATAGCAAGATATAAAAATTATCCATTTTCTTCTCAGAGCTCTAAGAATTTTTTCATAATTTTTTAGTTAATTTCTTTAGTATTGCATTTTTTTGAAGTATTAAAAAGTTTATAAAAAATTATGAAAAAATTCTCGGAGCTCTATGAGAAGAAAATAAACAATTTTTATCTCTTACCATTTTTCGGTAAAGTTGATAGAATTCGAGTAAAAAATTATTGAAACCAATAATTTCGTAGATATTTCCGTAAATATCTTACAAAATAAAGGTCGTATAAAAAATTTTTTCAAACAAAAGTTGTTAGTTTTTTACATAGAATAAAATTCCGTAAGAAAAAATAAATGTTTCTATTTAAAAAGCAAAGTTAACTTTCGAATAACCTTTAGAATGGCCTCCAAAGTCAAGGTCACCTTCAGATGTCCCCCTCTAAACCCGACAACTTTTGTCTGAAACATTTTTGCTGAATATACTTGGCTAAAGAATTATGAGGGTGGATCTTTTAAAATGGGACACCCTGTATATTGTGTATACATATCTACACACACCTATACATAACATTTCTTTCATATAAAGCGTGATATTATATATTTTACCGGCGAAATGTTAAAATCTTTTGTTATATCTAATTTGATATTTACCTCCAGTCGCCTCCGCGGCCACCGCCATCACGACGATCTTCACCACCTCCGCGATGATGATCGTCACGATCGCCACCGCCTCCACGACCGCCAAAACCACCACCACCGCCACGGCCACGGCCGCCGCCCCCTCGACCGCCACCAATTCGATTACCCTGCCAATTGCTTTTGTGCTGCGCCATTTGCACCTTTATTGTGCAACCCTTAAACTCCTTGCCATCGAACCAATTAATAGCTGAACGCGCGGCATTCTGATCATCATAAGTGACTGTCGCCTCTCCCTTGGACTTGCCCGTGTTCTTGTCTTTATATAGCCATACTTTGGGTTTACCCGTGCGTTTGTCATGCTGAAAACGTAAAGTGTGAACGTTCAAATGTAATGTTCCATTTTATCTCGACATATCATAATTTTCGTTAAATACTAAATTTATTTTTCACACTATGAAAAACTTTAAAACTCAAGTCGCCATATGAATGCAGAGAATCAGGTGATATTCATCAAAGACTACTTCTATCTACTGATAAGAAAACAGCTGTTGGTATTTATCAGAGACTATTTGTCAAATAAATTTTAAATCCAAATAAATTTTAAATCCAACATTTTGGACAAAATAATATACAAAATTGTGGGCAAAAACAGTTCACTTTCTTCTGAAAAAATTTGTCTTTCGACTCGCCAAACAGCAGACGTGACGTATAAAAGTGTTGTAAACAAGATTGATATTTATTAGTTTCGTCAACCGAGATGTACACGTGTGAATCTGAATAATAAAAAGAAAAGTATATATACCTTAATAACACCAATCGCTCCAAAGTGTTGGCATATCTCTTCCTCGGAAATCGACGGATCCATACCAGATACAAAAATAGTATCTTCCTGCGTAACCATACCGTCACCACCTCCTCCACTGTTACGGTCACCGTAGCCCCCTGCAATGGACCAAACGTCAAGATTCGTTGTACGTTGAATGCACAAGAGAATAAAAATATATTCGCATATCTACCGATCCTGGAGTTACTACTTTATCGTAATCTAAAGATATAAGGAAAGTATTTCGGATCCTCTATGAAGCGAATAACGTGTTGTTTGACCAAAGGAACTGTCTTGTGGACTCTAAGACCCGGTTGTTCCAACTTCCTGGTAAGTTTACTGATAGTTAAATCATATATCCATCTTTGTTTTCTCTTCAACTTAAACAAAGAGAGATATATGATTTAACTATCAGTTATCTCACTAAGAAATTAGAATAACCGGGCCTAAAAGAGAGAATATTCCTCCTTCTAATTAATTCTTTAATCAATATTGTGCACATGCGTAGATTTTGTGGTATGAAAAAAAGGAATACAATAATATATAGTCACTCGACATGAACAGCATGAAAGCTTTCCGTATATCTTTCCTCGCACAAAATCGTAGGTGTTCAATACAACTCTCTCTCGATAATATATTACCCAAAACTTGCACACTTATAAGATTCTCATATTTATCTCCCAATGACATAGAGAGTTCGTAATAGCCCTGTTCACAAGAGATGTTAGTTTCCACACTTTTCCACGATTTTCCACGATACTCTTTTCACGATTGTATCGCGCTTACACTATAGTAATCTTATTACATTCTTTATTTCGCTATTGACTTTTCTCCCTATGATTTTTGAAACGCGAGCAAAAGAAGAGATATATAAAAGACCGGCTTCGTTTGGATCACATTCTACTTGCGACTTCACAATCTGATTTTATAAGTGAATCGAGGGTTATATCAATGAAAGCGAAAGAGAGACATTTTCTTGGACTATTCTTCGCGCGAAGAAAGCTTATAAGATATATTTAGCAACTATATAAATAACTATATAAAATCTACACTATTCTTATTTATCATTTCTTATCACGTTATCACCATTATTACGCATAACCATAGTTACTCATTATACATAATATAGTTTTTTTTTCACCACTCTCCTAACTGTAGAATTTGCTTGCTTTTCGGTTTTCCACGAAGTTTTTTTTTTCGAAAAACGCACAATTCTGTTAAATGATAATATTAACTACCACTCTGCATCCCTCTTGTTTGTACACATAATTTCTTCATACCTCGAATGACGTTACATTCTGCGGTATACATCTTTAACTACCCTCTTTTTCGTATTGTGTTATTCGCAATATAAACGCAACGTATTAGTAGTGGTCTAATATTTCCATTAACACCTAACAATACATACAGAACACAAAGTTGCAGCTGAACATACAAAAGGGCTGCAACATCATTTTCTTACCCCTTGAAGGCTTAATCAGCAAGTGGTTCACCAGCTGCCTTTTATATTTTAATCTTGTTTTCTATTGTCACGCTTATACGTTTGAAAATACGTTAATACGTGATGATACAAAAAATCCATACGACGATCGTGCACAACTATCATTTTATTTTATCGTATTTACGCGGAACGAGCGTGATGTCCGTCCGCGACATCTTTTTGTTTCTTACAATGAACCTTTTTTCAACCTTTCGAAGTACTTTCCGAAATCGCTCTCGCGTCACCGACGGTGCACAGCGAGATATCTGGTTGTGTTCACCCCGTAAACAATAATATCTTACAGCTTTAGAAGACACACCCGGAATAGCCTGCTTGCAAAATCACATTTTTGCCACGCGAGCGTAGTTCCGTGGGGGGGGGAAAAAAAAAGAGCAATTGGTGATCACATATTACAATCTTTTTGAATGACACTACCAGCAGAATCAGTTATAGTTTCAACCTCGTTCTCCTTGCGTTGCATCGAAAAGCGCCGTGTGAATTATCATCACAGTGAATTGCCGTTGATTCGCGATTGCGAACGAAAGCGACTGAGGCAGAAAGATCAAAAAGAGAAAGAGATGTTGCGCTACCCTGAGAATGTTGCATAGCAGCCCTTTCATATAGTAATTGAGTAACCGAGTATTTAGGATCGTAAATAGTAGAGTGAAAGCTAGAATATAGCACCAGACTAGTACAAACAGTCTGGTGCATTTACCTTTGTTATAACCACCACGGCCACCGCCACTGCTAAAACACAGAAGCAGATATACCAATGAGTTGATTCATGGGCCGTGATCGATCGATCGATGCATGGCGAATCATATGCCGCTCACCACCTTTTCTTCTTGATGTACCTATTTGTCTAAATGTCATGTGTAGTCACCGTATTATATGATTTACACTTATTAGGCCAGTCCCGCGTGAAGTCACGTCCGTCAGTCTCGTTTTCTCAGCATGCACAGATATTACATTCATTTTTGCTTTTTCGTTCTTTTTTTTATGTTATTTTCTTTCACACGTGGGAAACGACAACGATAAAGTTCACAATCGACAGAATTGACGAAGTGTTTGATCTGTTTGATCGTAATGGAATCAATATAAATTTCTCGACTCATGGAAAATATGAGATCGCAATCAAGATCTGCGCACCTGTTTAACTTTAATTAGATATTCCATGATATAAGAAATACAAAAAAAAATAAAAAAATAAAAAGAGATTACTTGTGTGTAACTGCCGTTCATTGGTGAGACATTACCGCTGCAAATTGCCATTTGATCCAATTGGGATAATGAAATCTATAATGAAATCTATAAATACTAAACACAGTCGACGCACAACATACTTTATACTACTGCTCATTTTGTACAAATAAACGCAGCGTTTTCTTTCCAAAGAGACGACACGACGTCGTCCATCGAGGGCTAATCATTAGTAATAAATGAGAAGAACAAATATTATCCTTCAAAAAAAATATTGATACAATGCTAGATAAAAATAATGCGCACCGTAGATGCGTATCGTTTTAAGGCAAACAACAACACACCGTATTCCCACCTTTTTCCCAAAACTTATATTTATACTACATTTTTTTTTTTGACAAAAATACCTACGCGATAAGAATAGTCGGATAATCTCTATAATCTTTACGACTTGGGCTTTAAATTGCCTTATAATTGCCTAATCATGTTATCTGATACCTAATAGAGATAACGATTACAACAGTGGCCACAGTGGCGACATCAACCGCTTTTTATAGTTTCAATCCACTTAAGATCTTTGTGTGTAAAGCACCACACGTACGTGTATATACGTGTACACGTATGTGTGTGTGCGCGCGCGCGCGCGCGCGCGTGTGTGTGTGTGTGTGTGTTCTATATGTTGTGTTTTTTTTGCTATGATATATACCAGAACCAAGCGGGTAGAGTGTCGACATTACAACCTTTTTACGTCATTCGTCACATACAACCTGTTTCATTACCTCTTTTACTTCTGTTATACCTGTCTGTTAAACCTGTAGGCACACTTCAATTATATTAACGCCCAATTGGGCATAAACACCGTTCGTAATACAACAAGTTTCCAGATTACTGAAGGCGTTAAGAACTTCATTGCATACCTTTGGGTTCGCTTCAACAAAGACCGTTGTTTATGAATGCGACGGCTGTTGGCTTTAATTTAATATGTTTTCGGGGGAGTCTGTCGCTCCATTTGTCGCGCTTCACATTATATGTATCAAAAATATTTTGAAAATTAACTTACTTGTAACCACCGCCGGAGCGATCTCCGTAACCGCCACGATCACTGTATCTACCGCCTCCACCACCACCTCCTTGGCCTAAAAATTTATACAGCAATGCGAATACATGTGAATACATAATATAATATATATATATATATATATATATATATATATATATATATAAATATATAAAATAAACATAATAGTGTACATTATACAACATTATATAATAATAATAATAATAACAACAACGCAGGAAGAGAAAATCATTTAAAATAGGCTACCTTAAAGTTCCTGGCTCTTCGCCGCGGAACTCTTAATTCATGACGTCAGAAGCAAGAAACATCATGTTAAAAATTCTTACAAAACGATGTATCCATAAAATGACACTTGCAATTGATCAAGACTTGTAAAATAATTCTAATACTTTCCTTTTGCTCAAACAATTAATAAATAATCGTAAAATTAATGTAACAGGCAAACCTCCTCTTTAACCTTTGTTTCATGATTTTATCACGTTAATTTTACGGTTATTTATTGATTATTAAAGTCAAAGGAAAGTGGAAAAGGAAACTATTTTACGAGTTGTTTGACCAATTACAAGCATCATTTTGTAAATATATCGTTTTATTTTAACGTACTTGGCAAGAATTTTTAACGTGCATTTTCTCGCTTCGTTATAAATCAAAATGGTGGCGAGAAACCAGAGAGGGGGAGGGGGACAGAGAGAGAAGTCTTAATACACTTTTATTTTTAATATAGACAAACGCTTCAGACGAAATTTGCCTAATTTTCATGTGATAATATTGTTTTGGTTGTAAGTCAAAGGGTCGAAGACATTTCAAGGACATAATTTTTTTTAATTAATAGAATATTATAGATTTTTGTCTATTTCCTAATTTCAAGATAAATGCAATAGTATATAATAGTTAATAGGCTATGTTATCACAAATATATATCACAAAATGTAAATAAATATTTACTCACATTGTACATTTATATATGCATAGAAAAATACGTATTAAATTCAAGTAAATGTTACTTATTTCAAATATTTCATAAGTTTATATATCTGTAAATCTATCAAAAATTCATCATAAACATCAAATTTATTCCTTAAGCATCAAATACCTTCTGAATTCTAAGAAAAGTTTAACATCTCAATTGGGAATATTAAATTAAGAGAAAAACTTAATTTGTTTACTAGAGTTAAACCAATTTTATGTTAAAAAAGTTTTATAATATTGTTATAAAGAAAATTAATTCTTTATTGAATACAGTGGTAACAAGCTTTTCTGAAATTTGTGATTAACATATTTTAAGACTATTATAAAGAAAACATCTTTTGTTAAAGATAACCATGACTCTCTCTCTCTCTCTCTCTCTCTCTCTCTCTCTC